TGTAAGAGAGAGAGATTCACCTCTACTTTGAAAGTAAATTAGTAGGACTCCACTTTCAAAAACAGTGCTATAAAGAATAGTTCCATTCTGTAGAAAACAAATACAGGACTGTACAAGTTCAAAACATTAAGAGCAGTCGCTGGAAGACCAGAATGAAGCAGTGATTTGAAGAATGATTTAGTTATGAGAAACTGCTATTGCTTTTGCTTAGAATGGCAAATTGTACCCTTGTCTCTTGGGGGCATTGCCATGCCCCCTGCCTCAACTTGGGCAGGAAGCACTCAGCTTTATGGTTTACAGGTGGTAATTTTGGTTGCGGGAGAAACCGGAAATTAAAGAGGAAAAATTTGGGAGCATCAAGGCCATAGAAGGGCTGAGATGTCACCTTCTTCGCACAACTCTGGCTGACTGCTAAACTATACGTGCATGCAATAGGTGCAGAGAGTTCGGTGAGAATTGAAAGCTTGGGGAGACCTGCCGATTTGCTGTACCTCGGATTGCATTCTTCAATCCCCATACAGCTTGAGCAGCAGAAGGTGGGAGCCTTCCTGGCTTGAGGTGTTTGAGCAGAACTTCTTCCCAAATTTGCTGACAGCTAAACGATACAAGTACAGTACATACTCTCCAGTGAACCAGCCAAACAAAACTGAGCAGAGTCATGAGAGGCTACACACTGTGGAAAGACATATTTCACAGTGTGAATCTGGGCTATATCTATAAACCAGTAACCCTTAAGAGAGCAAAAGACAATCCAGAATTGCTGCAATGTATTTCATATGATGTCTTACTTCCCTCTAGAAATTGTAGGCAAAGAGATAGAACAGAGTGATTCATACTCAAGGAATAAAACCAGAATTCAATAAACAGGTGCAGAGTAAGCACAAATATTAGATTTAGCAGACAAAGGTATTGAGCAGCTATTATAAATATGGCAAAGAATTTTAAAAAGCCTCTTGAGTGAACTAAGGGCAAATCTCAACAAAATGGAAATTTAAAAAGAAGAACCAGTTGATAATTGCAGAGCTGACAATTATAGTAACTATAAAATCGTTGGATTAGCTAAGCCACATATTTGAGATGACAGAAGAAAAAAAATCACTGAAGTAGATTAATAGAAATTAATCAACCCAAAGAACAGAAAGAAAAAAGTCTAAAGCATAATGAATAGAACCTCAGAGATTCATGGTACAATCTTAAGTTTTTCAATAAATGTGTAATTGGAGTCTCAGAAGGTGAGGAGAAAAACAAAGGTCAGGAAAAAAATTATAGAAAAAAATGGCTGAAATATTGGCAAAATTGCTGAAAAATATTAACTTTCAGATCCAAGTACTGTAATGAATCTCAAATAGAATAAACAAAAAAGAACACTTCACCCAGGCACATTATAATCAAACTGATAAAACCTAAAAGTGAAAAGCCCTGCCAGTGTGGCTCAGTGTTTGAGCATTGACCTATGAACCAGGAGGTCACAGTTCAATTCCCGGTCAGGGCACATGCCTGGGTTGCGGGCTTGATCCCCATTGTGGGGCATGCAGGAGGCAGCCAATTGATGATTCTCTTTCATCACTGATATTTCTATCTCTCCTTCTCTGAAATAAATATATATTAAGAAAAAGCTAAAGATGCAAAGAGAATATTCAAAATAGCAAGAGCAAAACAAAATATCACATATAGGAATTTCAGGATATAATTGAGGCTGACTTATAGAAATAATGACAGCCAGAAGACACTAAAATGAGATATTCAAAATGCTAGGGAGAGGGAACGCCTGTCAACTAACAATTCTATACCCAGCAAAACTATCTTTTGAAAAGGAAGGCACAATGAGGACATTTTTATATAAATAGATGGAAATAATGTATTACTAGCAGATCTTCTCTACAGAATATTCTCAGGAAAGTTATTCAGGCTAAAGTAAAAGATACCAGCGGTAATTGGAATCCACAGGAAGGAATGAGGAGCAAGATAAATGGAAATTTTGTGGAAATTACCACAAAAGCAAACTCAAAAGAGTTTAGCACAAAATTGAAGCCACCTTTTCCCTGCAATTTGCCAGTTCCCTAAAATTAGAACTTTTATTTTGGTTGCTTTGGGAAGTAAGGATAGAAATCAAAGACTATACAAGATGGGAACCTAGTAAGTGCCTATACAAAAATATGAGATGCTGAAGAGTCATATCTTAATAGTGAAGGTGAATCAAAAGCAGATCAGCTCTATGGAATACTTATCAATCCTTTGGGACTTTAGGATATTTCAGGTCTTGAACTTGGTTATTCTGCTTTGTACAGATATAACACTGTGCGCCTGGCAAAATCAAATCACTTGTGGAGGAAGGTATCTTCACTGTAAAACATATTATTCTCACAAAATCTGTCAAGTGCAGTGTTCACTATGTAACCAAACATAAATAAGCAAGCAAGTAAATTATTATTTGTTCCATCAATAAGAACAAAAACAGGAAACAATAGAAACAGACTTCTGTTATTGGAATTTTCAGATGTAAACTGTAAAACAACCATGCTGACTATATTTAACAATATAAAAGGCAGACTTGATCTCAAAAGGAAAAGGAAACTACATTTGGAAAAGATTCACAATAGAATTTTAAAAAATATATAAAAATAAAATATATATATATATATATATATATATATATATATATAAAACGTGTGTGTGTGTGTGTGTGTGTATATATATATATATATATATATATATATATATATATGTATATAATTGAGTCCTTGCTGGTGTGGCTTAGTTGGTTGAGCATTGTCCAGTGCACCAAAAGGTCACCAGTTCCATTCCCAGTCAGGGCACATGTCCAGGTTGTGGATTCAGTCACCGCTCAGGGTGCATATAGGAGGTAACCGATTGATGTTTCTCTATCACATCAGCATTTCTCTTTCTTTCTCCCCTTTTCCCTTCCTCTCTCTAAAATCAATAAACAAATTTAAAAGTAATAATAATAAATTATAATTGAAATGTAAAATTCAGTGAGTGGTTTAATGGCAGAGTAGGTACTATTTGGAGAAAGCATTAATGAACATAAGATACCTAAGTAAAAAAAAAAAAAAAAAATCTGTAATCTGACACAGAGACAAGAAGGCATATAGGAGAGAGTAAGGGACATAAATTATACTCTGAGAAGATTTAACGCATGTTTAACCAAACTTCTAGAAAGAAAAGAGAAGTAGAATGGAACATAGGCAATATGTAAAGAGATAATTGCGGACAATTTTACAAAACATGGAGAACAAAAATCTGCAGATTCAAAAAGTCCAGTGAATTCTATTGATATGAGGCCCAAGAAAGATAAATTAAAACAAATTCATAGCTAGACACAGTGACACTAGAGAAAAATGAAAAGCAAAGAGAAAATCTTAAAAACAACCAAAGAGAAATGACAGATCACCTTCAAAGGAATGGTAGTAATGGACGTTTGAAGAGAATGGAATGATAGTGTCAGTATGACCATAGGTCAAAAACAGTTAACCTAAGATTTCATGTCAGGTGAAAATGTCCTGATATGAAAGAATCAAGACAAAGATAATATATTTTCTGACAAATAAAAACAGATATTTCACCTCTAGTGGTTTAGTTTCTTATTAAAAGAAATATTACCTATAGAAGAAAGTGATCCCAGATAGATGGTCGAAATTCAAGAAGGGTTGGTAAAAACGTGATAAATATGTGGGTGACACTAAATTAATATTAACTGTATAAAACAACATTAATAATAACCTGTGGGATTAAAATTATAGGGTTAAATTATTTTAACAGCAGCTGGGGTTAAAGGGATCACTTCATAAAATTAAAAGGTTCAGTTCTTCATTTAATAAAATGACTTCAAAATAGTAAAGTGAAAATGAACTTAAAGAAAAATAAATTCATTATGGCTCTAGATATATAATAATCTATTAAACAGTATTGATTTTTTTGGCCTTTTTCTGTATTGGGCAAATGAAAACATTTTTTAGAAAATATATTAGGAACAAATTTTATCTTATAAAAACAAAAAAATTATTTGGTACATTATTTTTAATGACTAAGTAGAATTCTTGTTCCTAAATGTATAATTGTTTATTTAACCTAACCATCCTTAATTTTTAGACATTTAATTTTTCAATATTTTTCTATTATGAGCATCATTATATGGATACATTTTTGGAGATACCTATGAGTATTCTTTTGAGATAAATTCTTATGGTATCAAAATATATACACATTTTTAAGGCCTTTGACAAGTGACTTTTCAGAAATATATAATTTTCAATTCTGACAACAGTTTGTGAATGTGTACCCATTTCTCTATGTTTTCATTAGCGCTGCACCTTATCATTAAAATTATTTTATTTATTTGATGCAAAAATAATTTCATTTTAATTTGTATTTCCTTCATTGCCAGTGAGAGTACATCTTTTTCATGGATTTTTAAGTAATACAAAATGGTTGTGTTTATATTTATTTCTATGAGATATTTACTTTACTGTTTAAAATTTTCAGTAAACTAAGTAATTAGATAACCAGATTTGATGGGAATTGTACTTTTATAAACTCAGTGAAATTTTGGTAAATGGGTTCACAGCATCTGTGCAAGGGCTTTAGGTACTTTAAAAGACTAAAAAGCCTTTTTCAGTGACTTCTAGGTTTGTAGCTACTCTGTAGAAATGCAGAAACCAAGCGACTAGTTTCTAGATAATAGGCCACAGCTGTGTGACTAATTTTTATAATCTTCCACATGTGTGAGCAGAGTCTTGCTACATTAGATGCACTTGGAACATGCTCTTCTGAAGTGACACCAAGCTGTCTAAAGTATCAGGGCTGTCTCCTTGTAGTCATCAAGGCTTTATCTTCTTAAAATCAGTCACTTTTTAAAAACTTTTACAGAATTTTAATTTTACCAGTATATCTACTATTTAGTTTGAATGTCATAATTTGGGACCAACATGCCCACAATAAAAATACGGGGAGATTTTTTATGTTCTATTTTTTCTTTCTAGAAACCATTAAGTTTTATATGACAGAGGTGATTATGCAGCCATCTGAGAGAAATTTTCCCATCATACCAAGGTACAATAGCAAATTATATTTATTCTGTAATTTCAAATGTAGGAAAAGATAGGTACAATGGATTACTTGGGAATTCATTTTTATTTATACTTCTCTTTATTTGGAAAGGTTAGTTAGACCAAACCACACTTGTAAAAGACTTGAGGATTTATTTATGATTTGCTTACATGATGTTATAGACAAATGTGCTCATATAAATCTAATTCAGATTTTTTGTTTCTTTCTATGTGCCAGATATCCAAGGTCTTATAACCTAACCATCAATAAGTTTTTGAATAATTATTTTTGGTTGTAATTTGATGTACTTAAAATTTGAGACATGGTTCAGTTTCCAAATGTTTTGTGTGTGTGTTTTTAAGTGGTACTTAGCCACTAAATCCATTAGTGTTTCTTTTCTTCAAATTGTTTTAGTTTGCAAACAAAAGTTAAGTATAGTATATATGTCTTTATTTTAGTTCATTATTGATGTCTAATGATTTTGGCAATCTAAATATAACCCTAATTTAGGGTCTCATATTATTCTCCTATAAATGCTTTCTTAGGTACCTAAGATCTGATACTTTAGCAGTGGTTCTCAACCTTCTGGCCCTTTAAATACAGTTCCTCATGTGACCCAACCATAAAATTATTTTTGTTGCCACTTTATAACTGTAATATTGCTACTGTTATGAATCGTAATGTAAATATCTGATATGCAGGATGGTCTTAGGCGACCCCTGTGAAAGGGTCATTCGACTGCCAAAGGGGTCGGGGCCCACAGGTTGAGAACCACTGCTTTAGGGGATCCAAATGAAAATATTGTAGATAATGCTGCCTAATGTTTGGGAGGAAATGCCTTGCCTTTTTAAACTTAGCTATTCGCTGTTTAATGTGCAGCACAAGTGGAACATTGACTTGTCTGACATACTTTGTTTTTTGTTTTGTTAATTCTCACCTGCAGATATTTTTCCCATTGCTTTTCACAGGGCGGGAGAGGGAGACAGAGAAAGAGAGTGAAACATCAATGTGAGAGAGACACATCCACTGGCTGCCTCCCAAATGTGCCCCAACTAGGGGTAGGGGGCTGAATCCACAACAGAAGTACGCACCCTTGACCGGGAATCAAACCGACGACCCTTCAGTGTGCAGGCTGACACTCTAACCACTGAGCCACCGGCCAGGGCTGACATACTATTTTTTATTCAGTAAGGTTTGGGGTGGAAAATGTATTAAGGATTGGAGAATAGGATATAAGAAGACTAGAGCAAATACATTAAAATATATTAAAATCCACATTAGCACAGGTTGTGAGGGAAAGGGTGGCATATAGAAGAATCTGGCATACACGTGCCTCTGTCTTTTAGGTACCCTGTGGGTATTTTTGCCTCATCTTGCCATTTAGAGTTATTATGAGAGGCACATTGTGAAAATTTATTTCTGTTCAAACAGGTCTCAGTTTGTACAGAGCACTGTCGCTCAGTGCCTAGTGGAACTCTCCTCTGCTAGAAGCACTTTTAGATTCAGTGTTCAAGGTCATGACAGCAAACCGTACATCTTGGTAAGAAATTATTTCAGCTTTTTGTCGCCCTAGTAACACAGGGTCCCAGTAATTCTTTAGTTTTTGTCATTCTTTTTTCTTAATTCTCAGGTCTACAAAACAGTTGATTTAAAAAAACAAAGAATTTTTAATGTCAGCTTAATTTGAATATCAGTTTAATTCACAAATAAAACTTCCTTAACTTAGTAACAAATGATCAAATGCTTCTATGTGCTAGATACTAGGGATATAGAAAGAAATACAACCTGATTCCTGCTCTGTAGAAGCTCATAACACAAAACAAAGTTTTCACTCAGGTTTTAATGGTTTTTCTTGGTCAGTATAACAGAATTCTGTTTCTTTTTTTTTCCTACTTGATACTCTTATGAATTTTTTTGTTTGTTTTGTGGTAAGAAAACTTAACATGAGACCTACCCACTTCACAGATTTCTTTTAAGTATGTTTTTATTGATTTCAGAGAGATGCAGGGAGCGAGAGAGAGAGAAGAGAGAACCATGGAAGAGAGAGAAACATCCATCAGCTGCCTCCTGCACATCCCCTACTGGGGATTGAGCCCGCAGCCCGGGCATGTGCCCTGACTGGTAATTCAGTCAGCCACTCCTGGTGCATGGGATGACGCTCAAACAACTGAGCTACACGAGCTGGGACACTTCACAGATTTTTAAGTGCACAACACAGTATTGTTAACTATAAGCACAATACTTATAGCAGGTCCTCATTTCTCCCTCCCCCAGCCCCTGGCAACTCCCATTCTACTCTCTACTTCTATGAGTTAGACTATTTTAGATTCCTCATATAAATGGGATCATGAATTTTTTTTTCTTTTGTCCTTCTGTGTCTGGCTTGTTTCACTTAGCAAAATGTCCTCAAGTTCATCATCCATGTGGTCTCATATTATAAGATTTCCTTTCATTATATATATGTGCCACATTTTCTTTATCTATTCATTCATAGATGGACATTCAGATTGTTTCTACCTTTTGGTTTTGGTAAATAAAGCTGCAATGAAGCTGGGGTCTCCTGTTTCTCAAGGTGGGACAAACCTTAGGTATGATGTCCTTGTGGGATCAGGCTGAGCCAGACTCCAGCTGAGTTCACATCCTTGCCTGGCTCCTCCCTCCACCTTATCCTGTTTACCTTACTCCCAGTCTCCTGAGAGTATTCCCTGGTTGAATCACATGCATTCAAATCCTCACTCTTCCACCAGCAGTGTTTGGGAATATCCATCCAAAGCCCTCTTCTGAACTGGCGGTATCAATCTTCTTGTATTTGCCAATCGGAAAGTGAAAAAGGGTAGCACACAAATTTTGCATTTCCTTATTGCTAGTTATATTAACATTTTTATATGTTTATCACTTATTTCTTCTGTTAATGCTGTTCAGATTCTTTGCCTGCATTTCCATTGGGCTGGATTTTGAGGAGTGCTATATGCAATAACTTAGTTATATGTGTATTAAATACTTCTTTCTAGCTAGTTGTCTTTTTCTTCTTTTTTTCAAACTTTATCATGTTGTTTACTCTACCATGGTTATACTTTGAAAGACGAACCTTCCTTAAAAATTATATAGATGGTTCTCTTATATTTTTTCTGATATTTTTATAGGTTTGTTTTGTGTTTGTTTATTTGAGTGGTGATATGAGATAGGGGTAGGATGGTGATATCCTTATACTTGGACTTTTCTCTCCTTATCTTTAGCTATGGCTTTTAAACTCAGACAGTTTGGTGATTGAATCTTTGGCGAGTTCCAGAAGTGTCAAAAAGTTTCCCTTGTTGGAAGACATATTGAAGGCAGATTCCAGCTCTGCTCAGAACGCTGTCAAAGTCCTCTACCAGCCATGCATCAAAAGTAGGAATGAAAAGTAAGTTGTGCTCTTGTTTTCTCATTTCACATTATGTTTTAGTTTCTGTTGCGATGTTGGTGTTAAGAAATTAATGAATTAAATGCTACTGTACCACTTCCATACTTGAAGCTTCTTGGAGTCATACTCCTAAATGTTATCCATTCAGAGTAGATTGAATTATTATAGATGATTCATGCTAATGTGCAGAAAGCTTGCTTTTACTGAAAACAATTGGTCTTTTTCTTATAATCTCAGCTGTCTCTACATATGGCTGCAGTACTAAATCAGACTCAATAACTATGAATATTTACTAGTACTGATAAGCAGTTTCCAGGCATTCGGGATACAAGAGCAAATAAAACACAGTCCCTGCCTCCTTGAGTTGTCATTTTAAGCGGGGGAAGGCAGATCATAAACAAAACGCAAAAATATCAAAGATTAATGTGGCCCTTACTGTGACACCAACTCTCACGTAAGGGCTTCTAGTTCATTTAAGTCTAACAGCACTCTGTGGGTAGATACTATTATCACCCCCACCTTCTACACTAATAAAAGAGAAAGATGCAAATTGACTGTACCTTCGCAACGCCCACCAGCCAATCAGGCGTGCATATGCAAATTAGCCCAACAAAGATGGTGGGTTAATTTGCATACACAGGCATTGAGCAGTGGGTGCAGCCAGGGCCATTCCAGGCCTCTGGGCAGCATGGAAGGCGGAAAGGCAACTCTGGGCCAGAGTGAAGGCAGAAAGGCAGCTCCGAGCCAGAGCGAAGGCGGAAAGGCGGCTCCAGTCTGAGCGAAGGCGGTACCGGCAGCCAGGGGGAAGGCCCATTCTTGCATGAATCTTTGTGCATTAGGCCTCTAGTTTAGCGATAAGGATGCTAAGACACAGGTGTAAATAGCACGGCTAGTGAATTTAAAGCTGGGTGAGGTAGTTGGGGAGTGGTAAAATGGGCATGGGAAGGGTTTTCATTTTATATTGAAAAGGCAAGGACGGTTCCTCGGATTAAGATGATATTTAATTGGAAAACTTGAAGGAAGTTAGGGAGTGAGGCTTATTGCTGGGAAGAGCATTCCCAGCAGAGGAAACAGAGTCTTCTTATTTGAACAGATTGGAAGTTATACTTGTCCTGTACTCTAAATGGGTTCCATCAAATTTGTACCAGGAACAGAAAGGCCCCAGTCTTTTTCTGGGAAGTAAATAAAAAAATTTTAAAAATCATTGCTTGACTTTGAATTATGCAAGCAGTATAATTCATAAAATATTCATACAGTAGAGACAAATATGAAGTCAAATATGGAAGTTCTCCATCCTTTCTCTTTCCAGAAGTAAAAAGTATGTTGTGTATTCGTCCTTTCCTTTTTTCTGTTATATTATATTTTAACATAAGTTGAATGGTACATGTATATTTTTTACACTTAAAAAAACACTGTGTCTTAGAGATTCTGTCTATATCAGTGCTCAGCATTTTATGAAATGGATGTACTGTAAATATTTAATCATTTTTCTGTCAATAGATATTTGGGTTGTTACTTTTTTGCTGCTGTAGTTAGTATTGTCCCGTGTGTGTTGTACATTTGTTTTGTGATTATGTGTGCTATTTTTGTAATAAGGATTTTTAAAAGTATAATTGCTGAGTCAAAGGGTATGACATTTAAAATTTTGATAGATAATATCAAATTGTTTTGCAAAAAGATATTATGGATTTATATTCCCAACTGAAGTTTCTATAAATGCCCATTTTCCTGCACCCTCACTCAAACTGCCATTTAGATTTTTGCGCATCTGATGCCAGTCTAAATGAAATAGGTTCACTTGACTATCCTTGTGTTTTATTAATGCATGATCAGAGAATAAGGCTTATGTGTATTTGATGCTTTGGGAACTTTGTTTAGCTGTGTGTGCGTGTGTGTGTGTGTGTGTGTGTGTGTGTGTGTATTCTAATACATAGTAAACTTTTAAGTTGTTCATTGATTATATTTTTTTTAAATATATTTTATTGATTTTTTTTTTTTACAGAGAGGAAGGGAGAGAGACAGAGAGTTAGAAACATCGATGAGAGAGAAACATTGATCAGCTGCCTCCTGCACATCTCCTACTGGGGATATGCCCGCAACCCAGGTACATGCCCTTGACCGGAATCGAACCTGGGACCTTTCAGTCCACAGGCCGACGCTCTATCCACTGGGCCAAACCGGTTTCGGCTGATTATATTCTTTATTCACTAGTGTGGATGTATGTCTGCCTTTATATATTTAGATTATTTAGTCAAGTTTATTAAAACCTTTTTAAATCATCTTTTTTTATTTATTTGAAATGTGAATTTTTCAGAAGAGTGTGTTAAATCTCACTGTGAATATGGAAAAGTCATTTTCTTCTGGTTTTGATATTAGTTTTTGCGTTATAGGGGTGGGCAGAAGTAGATTTGCAGCTGTACTTTAAAGCTCTGGGTATTAAGAAAAAGGAAGTGGGAGTAGATTCAGTTATGGTGGTGAACCTTGTATTCATTATTATGAAGAATCTTCGCACTGCCTTTCCTGAGGAGAGTTACATGGATCATTACACCTGTCCCATTATTTCATTCATTCCTAACAAATCTCTGTGACATCAGAAATATAATGACTATTTAGGTTGTGTTCTCTTGTATTTGATTAGTGGACTCTCTATTTTTTAACTCCATATGTCTTGGGAATGAGTTGACGTCCAATAAATGAGTTTGATTACTTTAGTTTGCCTGTTTCATATACTTCTGTTGTGCTTTTCCTCCAGCTACTGTGTGACTTGGTCCCCACACCTCCCAAGGTAGGAGGGGAATTTTGCCAAGTTGTGTAAGCATCCTGTGAGTTATTTACTTTTATTTTCTGAGGACGATAGTTTCTATCTTTTGGGGCATGACTGAGGAAGCCGTAGATTCCCTGGCATATTTTTGGTGCATGGGTTGGTGCATTAACTATTTTAGTCCAGTTGGCTAGAATTTTTTCTAGTGGAAGTATGGATTGCCAGATGGCAGTCTAAAAGAGGAAAATAGCAAATGTAACTAGGGTTTTATTTCCTTGAGCACTCACACAAAAAAGTGGCAGTAATATTTTTAGAATGTTCTTTCTTTCTAGCAATAGACACACATATCTCTTAACATTTTGAAATCTATTTTTTTAATCTCTCCTTCCTTCACCTACAATTACCCTACAACTCACATTCTTTAGTTTGCATATCAGATTTAGATACTAAATATTACTTTTTTAGCTTTGTTAACTAAAGTTAACTTTTGCAGTTTAATCTGCCAATTCATCAGTTTATCTGTGTCCTCATTCTCTAGTCTGGGGGTAATTTTCCCCTCAGGGGACATTGGCAGTGTCTGGAGACATTTTTGGTTGTTACAACTTGGGGGCGGGGGGGGGGGGGGGGCTGGCATCTAGTAGGTAGAGCCAGGGAAGCTCTTAAACATCTTACAATGCATTGGAGACCTCCTACAACAAAGAATTATCTAGCCCCAAATGCTAATGATGCCAAAAGTGGAGAAACCCTAATCTAGATTATCTCCTAAAATCCAGCTGAGTCTACCTTATCCCTCTGGGTGTCATAGCCCAACATTTTCTTGAAATTGTATTTAGGCCTACAAAGAAGAGAAATTTTACTGTGGCATGAGCCAAAATCTCTATAATCTTACATGTTAACTTTGTTAGAAAATGTAATATAAATGTTTATTATTACATTTTTCTCTTTTTCTGTTAGGGATACAGGAAGAATAGATTTATTTTTATTAAATGATGAATTTTATAGGTATCAAGTCCTTTGTTCTCATATTTTTAAGAGAAAAGAGCTAGGGGAATGTAATCAGTAAGTGTAAATAAGTATTGTTGTTATTGCTGTTTTTTAAGCTAAATTGAATTCTCTTCATTGTATAAGTTACACAAGTCCTAGTAGTGCTATTTGTTCTTCCCACCTTTTTCAAGAGATATCCAATTTAAGAATTCAGAGAATTTGAACTTAGAAGACCTATTCTATGTTCTTGTATTAATACCATTTTCTTGCAAAATATACTGAGGGAGGAAATGTTAAAGGCATATTATATTCACCCCTAGTTGTAGCAGAATTTAGAGATTATATTTTATAAACTAACTAGGTTTCTCTCTGTTGGCTATATATAGGTAATTATTGCTTCTAAAACAGAAGTGTTATTTTTTGCCCTTAGACAGTCATCATTATTGCTTTTTCTAATGAAATAAAAACAAATATAAACCACATCCATATGCATTTCATATGTATAAAATAATATTAGTGGTTATTTTTATTTGTGAAGTTGTATTTCTTATCTTTTTATTCTTTTATTTCAGCAAGAAAATGGAAATTCTGTGTATTCATTGGGATAAAAACCACATAACATAAAATTTACCATCTTAACCGTTTTCTTTTTAAGTCTATGGTTCGATAATGTCAAGTATATTCACACTAGAAGCCCAATGCATGTACACTCGCGGGGAGAGGGGAGGGTCCCTCAGCCCGGCCTGCACCCTCTCGCAGTCCGGGAGCATGCAGGGTGTGGGCCTAAGCTGTCAGTCGGACATCCTTAGTGCTGCTGTGGAGGCAGGAGAGGCTCCTGCCATCGTCAGCCATGAGCCCAGCTTCTTGGGGCCCTGCCCCCCACCAGTCGTGATCGGGGCCCCAAAGCTGGGCTCACGACTTCTGGCTGAGCATGAGCAGCACTCCCCCTATGGGAGGACACTGACCACCAGGGGGCAGCTCCTACATTGAGCGTCTGCCCCTTGGTGGTCAGTGCGCATCGTAAGTGACCAGTCGTTCCACAGTTTGGTCAATTTGCATATTAGCCTTTTATTGTATAGGATTGTTGTAAAATATACCTCCAGAACTATTTCATCTTGCAAATTTGAAACTCTACACTTTCCCCAGTCCCTCTTATTTTTTGTTTTTATAAATTTGACTGTATTAGTCTGCTAGGGCTGCCATAACAAAATACCACAGACTGGATGGCTTAAAAATTAACAGAGATTTATTTTCT